TGATGTGCTGTGCTCAAGCAAGGCATTTTACTTGGCTGTATCTGATGATCTACTTGGATATCTAAGTAGATGACTCCTAAAACTGACAAGTTATAATTTTCAGAATGGTAAAATCATGATGCATATAGATATAAAATAAACACATGTGAAACATTTTAAGTCATTAATCTGGGAGGGAACCAATATGACATTAAAACTAATTTAAGGGGTGCCTGGGTGGCTCAGTCAGTTAAGTGTCTGCCTTCGGCTCAGGTCATGATCCCAGGGTCCTGAAATTGAGCCCCACGTCGGGCTCCCTGCTCCACGGGGAACCTGCTTCTCCCTCTCGCTCTGCCTGCTGGTGCTCTCTCCCTCTCTTCCTCTCTCTCTTTCTCTGTCAAATAAATAAATAAAATTTAAAAAAATAAAAATAAGTAAATAAAACCAATTTAAACCTTAAAATCTAGAAGTCTCAATTATTGTTTTAAACAGCTAAACTTCAAGGTCTTTTTTACAGTTCATAATTAACAGGATTTTATATATATTTTTTATTTTTAGTTTCATGTTTTTATTTAAATTGTAGTTAGTGAACATACAGTGTAATATTAGTTTCAGGTGTAGAATTTAGTGATCCATCACTTACATACAACACCCAGTGCTTATCACAACAAGTGCCTTCTCACTACCCATCACCCATTTAGCCCATTCCCCCACCTCAGGATTTTATATTAGTAAATGTTTTTCATCTCCAACTTTATCTGAAAAGTTTCTTCTAAATGGTTTCAGGGGCACCTGGGTGACTCAGTCAGTAAAACATCTGACTCTTTTTTTTTTAAAGAACAGACATATTTTAATGTACAGAGCTTTAAGAAAGAAAATTAATTGGCCATATTTTTATTAGATTGTAATAGCTAAGTAGTAGTGCATAAAATCACATATCACAAAAATATAAACCACATATATAACTGAGCTGTCTCAGTAGACTTTAATAATAGCATATATATATCACGTTGTAGACCCTATTACCAAGAGAAAAACACAAGTGAACAAGGAAATGGCAATTCACTACAAAACAGAGTAAATTATAATGTATTCTAGACAAATATCAACTCTTGTTGCAAATAAATATACTGTTTTGCACCTAAAAGAAGCATCCGACTCTTGATTTTGGTTCAGGTCATGATCTCAGGGTTGTGAGATTGAGCCCAGAGCTGGCTCCCAGCTCAGCATGAAGTCTGCTTGTCCCTCTCCGCAACCCCCCCCACTCTCTCTCTCTCTCAAATAAATAAATAAATAAAATCTTAAAAAATAAATGGCTTCAGAATTCTACTCCTTCTATACCTGCATCTTTCCTATCCAATTCCTTTTGATACTACTTAGTTAGGAAGGCATGCAACTCTAAAACTGTAGACAAGATTTCATTTGCTTGAATGGAATAAAAAAATGGAAGAGTAGAGATATCAGAAATGTCATACAATATATAGAAAGTAATATACTTCTAGAAGTGGGATATGGGGCATGGAGCATATAATATTCTGCTTCTACATTTAATATTTCAGAATGACTCAGTTACTATATTTCATTGATTCCAAAATGCACATTTTTTCATATTTAACATCTCAAAAATCTAGATAAAGTTTATGTTAATAGCCATTGGCTGGTTTTTTCCCACATCTGTTATCTTTTCAATTGGGATGTATCTTATAATCAATGACATCTTAGGTAAAATATGGTATTGTTTGTCCTGGAAATGCTATTCCATTAGCTAAATGCTAATGAAACTTTGTTCATAGTCACAATATGGGCTTTGAACAAAATTGTAGGTAAAGAAAACTTTTTTCATTTACATAATATGTAATGGTGAACAAAGCAGACACAGCTACAGCTCCCATAAAGCTCAGTGGCTACAGCAGCATTGTCCAGTAGAAATATAGTATGATCTCTTATGTAATTATAAATTTTCTAATAGTCACACTTAAAAAAGTAAAAAGAGGGGCACCTAGCTGGCTCAGTTGGTAAAGCATGACACTCTTGATCTCAGGGTTGTGAGTTTGAGCCCCACATTAGGTGTAGAGATTACTTTAAAAAAGAAAAAAGAGGGGGGAATAAAAAGCAATAGATGAAATTAATGTTGAGAATATAGTTTTATTTATCCTAATATGCCTAAATATTATTTCAACAATCAATATTTTTTAAACTGTTAATGAGATATTTTAGTTTATTTTTCCTAAGTCTTTGAAATAGGGTGTGTGTTTTATATTTTACAACACATCTCAATTCAGATTGGCCATATCTCAAATGTTCCATTTAGCTATATTACACAGCACAGGTCTAGAGGCAGAGATGAACTTGTTTTTTTTTTTTTTTTTTTTTAATATTTATTTTAGAGAAAGAGAGAGAGAGCATGAGGGGAAGGGAGGGAAGGACAGAGGGAGAGAGAGACAGAGAGGGTGAGCTTGAGTTGGGGGAGGGACAGAGAGAGAGGGAGATAATCCTCAAGCGGACTCCCCACTAAGCACAGAGCCCAACACCAGGCTTGATCCAGGACCCTGAGATCATGACCTGAGCTGAAACCAGGAGCCAGATGCCCAATCAACTGAGCCACCTAGGTGCACCGAGATGAACTTTTTATTCAATATTGGTTTTTTTGGTTCGCTTGTTTTTGTAGCTACTTTTCTTTGGTGGGGGGATATTTTTATTTTTTGAAGAGGTAAAATATACCAAATTTCAAAAGTACCAGGGCATTCAGTGAAAAATAAGCCTTCCTTTAATCCTGTCCCCAGCCACCCTCCTCCTGTAGGGAAATGCTTTTAGTAATTCTGTGCATTTGCAAATATATCCATATATTTTTCTCCTTTGTTTTCCACACAAATAGTAGCACACTATACACAGCTTGGCACTTTCTGTTTTTGCTTTTACTTAATATATTTTGGAGATCTTTCCATAGCAATGTATGCAGAGCGTCCTCATTCTCTTTAACAGCTGCATAATGAATACAGTGATGCATAATGAATAATGAATACAGTATAGTTTAATGAATACATTATATTTATTTAACCTTTTTTTTAAGTACATGATATTTTACAATTCTTTTTTTTTTTTTTTAAGATTTTATTTATTTATTTGACAGAGAGAGACACAGTGAGAGAGAGAACACAAGCAGGGGGAGTAGAAGAGGGAGAAGCAGGCTTCCCGCGGAGCAGGGAGCCTGATGCAGGGCTCGATCCCAGGACCCTGGGACCATGACCTGAGCTGAAGGCAGATGCTCAACGACTGAGCCACCCAGGCACCCCTAGTTTATTTAACCTTTTGATGGTAATGAAGATATTTGTAATATTTTGTTATTATAAAGACTGCTAGTATGAATATTCGTGCACAGAAGTCACTTCATACTCAAAGGACTGTATTTGTAGAATAAATACCTAGAAATAGAATTGCTGAATATAATTATAAGAATTGCTAGAATATATGCTTCCTATACAGATTTCCATTTTGCTCACCATTATACCCCTAGAACCTAGAAGAATATTTGGCACATTCTAGACACCAATACATATTTGTTGAATGAATTTATAAAGTAGGAAGTGAGGCTTATTTTTCATTCTTTCAGCAGTACTGACTCAATCTGAATGGTACTTTTTGGATCTGATACTTGTATTATTTACTTTGAGGATTGCTTTCCCTAGGAAGTCTCACCACTCCCTCTCTCCCTTGTTTTTCCTCCCTCTACCACATCCCTCTCCTACCTGACTTAGAGGCAAAACAAAGCTGGGGAAATTACATTAATATTTACGGCAGAGTTTTGTTTTGTTTTGTTTTTGAAGATTTTTAAAGAGAGAGAGCGCACAAGCAGAGGGAGGGCAGACGGAGAGGGACAAGCGGACTCCAAGCTTAATTTAGCTCAGCATAGAGCCTGACATGGGGCTCAAGGCAGGGCTTGATCCCAGGACCCTGAGATCCTGACCTGAGCCAAAGTCAGAGACTTAACCCACTGAGTCACCCAGGTGTTTAGGGCAGACTTTTTTTTAAGACAAAAAGTATTAGGGCTAGAGACAGTCATCACTTAAGGGTAAAAGGATCAACTCACCAGAAATAGTTGCTAAACTTACATGCATTTAATAAAGTAGCCTCAAACTATAAATGGGAATATCAATTACAGGGAGAAAAAAAAGAAATTTATCATCATAGCAGATTCAACACTCTTGATTATTGATAGCCCATATATGTCACTGTGTCAGGAACCCTTCTCCAAATCCTTACTGAATGTAATAAATTGTAAGGGTATGGGGTGCCAATATTTTCTAAGGGCTGCTCAAAAACTTGAGTATGAAAGACCTAAGGAAGCACAAATGAAAATAGCTGTAATAACAAATCTGAATTTAGTGGAAAGCTTGTGAAAAGAACATGGATGTTTCTTTTCCAAAAATAATTTACAAAACTTCCAGCTAGTAGCACTTGCTGAAGAAGTTAAGGGAGTGAGAGAGTCACATTTGGAACCAAGAAGGCAAACAGGAGGGAAATATGAGTATTTTATTAACATTCACTCAAAAAACATTTATTGAACACTTCCTACGTGCAAGAATTCTAATTACCATCCACTTCAGAACTCGAGTTCATTTTTTTTTTAAGATGTTATTTATTTATTTGACAGAGAGAGACACAGCGAGCGAGGGAACACAAGCACCGGGAGCAGGAGAGGGAGAAGCAGGTCTCCCGCAGAGCAGGGAGTCCCATGTGGGGCTCGATCCCAGGACCCTGGGATCATGACCTGAGCCGAAGGCAGACACTTAACGACTGAGACACCCAGGTGCCCCAGGAACTCCAGAGTTCAAATTAAAAGTAATTCAGATACTTAAATATTACTTAAAACTTTTAGACACATCAAGGTCACTACAGGACCAGAAAATGGGCGCCAGAGAATTCGGGTCAGGCAGCGAGGACACCTATCAGCAGTCGGCGGGGTCCTAGGGCAGTCAAGCCACCGCTCCTTGCTACAGGCGGGAGTGTGGTCAGCTATGCCGGTGCTCGGAAGGGACCTGGGGGGAGCTTATGCGCAGGCGCGGGCCGCTCAAATCCACCCAGGAACGAACCAAAGTTCTCTTTTCGGTCTCAGACATGGTGAGTAAGGTTGTCCTCAGCAGTGGCTGCCGGGGTGGCGTCTGGGTGGAGTAATACTGAGCAGCTCAGTCACCCTAATTTTTTAGCAAGTATTGGAGAACGGTTGGGTTAAGACACTGGCCTTGGACGGTTTCTTTAGGGCTCAGAGAGGGTGAAGTATTACTCAGCGTTTTCTGCAGACTTCGCGGGCCCACTTACGGCTTCTGATTTTATCTAGGCTTCTTCCTAAGACGCGGGCTTCAAGATTCAACGGCCCGATTTCTTAATTCCTCAAAAAAGCCGGGCCAGTCAGTGGTTCCTTTTTATTTTCTATATTTTATGGCTCAAAATCTATAAAGTATGGTCTTTGAAGATGCAGTGAATTTTAAGTGGGATCTGATGGAAATTTACTAAATTCTTTTCGGTAATCGTCATGACCTACTTACAATGAGTTTACAATAAATGCGGGGAACTAGAGCAGCATCATTTCCTGAGGGCTTGTTGCAAATGAAGAAATCAAGATTAAAGCTGGAGAAGATGAGGCTAAAGGAGCTTACTGATAAATTGAATAACCCAGGATTAATAAGATTTCATTAAAGATCTTAACTGCAAATTATGGGCTAGCTATATTTTATATATAAATGTTCTAATTTTAATGCTTCAACTTTCTGCTGCATGTAAACTAGTTTTGAATTGGTAAGATTGGATTTTCTGTGGTGTTTATTTTACTTTAAGTGAATGATAAGCAACAACAGATGAGGGTAATAATTTTTTGGGTCAATGATGAGCTGGCATGTATTCTGAATCTGAAGCTGATTATTACTACTTTAGCTCTAGAATTACTCTGAGACCTGAAAAATACCCGAATCTTTACAAGGGCTTTAGTGCTTAAGTTCTTTCTGGTCAGATACTTGGCAATTTTTATGTAGAAAGTTTCTGTGTGGCAAGATGGAATCAAAGTGAAAAGTTCAGATGTATACTGAATATATACACTGTGGTCAAACATTAAAAAATGAACAGTTACGAAGTCACTGCTTTATTATTTTGAAAGGGCACACCGCAGAAGGATGTTATTATCAAGTCAGATGCGCCTGATATGCTATTGTTAGAGAAGCATGCAGATTATATCGCGTCCTATGGCTCAAAGAAAGATGATTATGTATGTATGATTTCATGTTGAAAGTTTGTTTTATTTTGAAGAAATGAGACTAATATGCATAAACAGTAAGTAGGTCAATATTTGTGGCCCATGTTATTTTTTTGTCCATGTTTCTTAAAAATGATAACTCCTCCATGCCAAGGACTGAAGTTCTCTCCATGAAGTGCAGTGAGTGTACCTTTTACTGAGTGAGGTTGAGGGTCAACCAGAATTAACCGTGGTTCTCAGAGGCTTTGACAGACAAAATAGATTCCCCATCTGCCCAGATTTTTAAGAGGTTTGAGGTACAGAAGAGATTTGTATTTTTGTACTTGAGGTATTACTTTCAAGGTCAGTGATGTGTTGGCATGTATTACCTGAATATATGGCTGATGTGTAACAACACTTTAGCTCTAGAATTACGCTGAGACCTTGAAAAAGTTTTACCTTAAGTTTCAAACCTTGAGTAGTTTTCCTCTCTGGGACAATCTTAGAAAAAAGTAATGAAACTGAAAGTAAATATTTTTCCCTGTAGTGTCCAAACAACTTAATTAATTTACCATCTTGGGAAACCTCTAGTATTGATTAATTTGTGACTTGTTAAATTCCCTAAGATTACTCACCTGATTCGGAACCTTAACGTAATGCATTGGTGACTAGCAAAAATTTATTTCTGATCTAGTCTCTACCAGTTTTTAGGTCTCTGATTAGCTACTGTTAGCTATTTTATCTTAATTTTTGCATGCCTTGGCCATTTTGGTTTTCAGGTCATTGTACCATTTACTAATAGGTAGTAGATAGGCTTTGTACATAGTCCATATATTAATAGAGTGGATGTCTGATAAATACGATGTAGGTACTCTGAAAGAAATACTCTGTCCCCAAACTTGAAAAAAGTTGGTATATTTTTGACTTACTCTTCTGGTTGGCTCTTAGGAGAGATTAAAGTCCTATTTGTATTAGTCGCAGATAAGTTTATCATATGCATCTCAGATACTTACCCTTTCCCCACCCCCAGATTTGATAGCCACAAATTTAAAATAAATACCTTTGTTAGAATCAATTGAATTAAACAGGAAGTGTGGCTAGTTAGTTTTTATGTGTTCTATCACTTTAATAACCCTGCATCAATTCAGACTGGCACATTAAAATAATTGTGTATTTTAGGAATACTGTATGTCTGAGTATTTGAGAATGAGTGGTATCTATTGGGGTCTGACTGTAATGGATCTCATGGGACAACTACATCGGATGAATAGAGAAGAAATTCTGACATTTATTAAATCATGTCAACACGAGTGTGGTGGAATAAGTGCTAGTATCGGACATGACCCTCATCTTTTGTACACTCTAAGTGCTGTCCAGGTAAATACTTACTAAAATTTAACAGTCTTGGTAGTGTGTTCTCTTAGCTGAGAATGGAGAAATTACACTGGGTATTAGGAACATGATAAAATTGGTGTCTGTCAAAAAAGTTTCCCCAGTCTTTTTAAATGAAACCTGTATTCTACAAGGTCAATGATGTGATGGCATGTATTAGCTGAATCCAAAGTTGATGTAAACTGTAAAATTACACTGAGACCTTGAATGATAAAATGTTTATTTTCAGTATATATAAATAATTTGAAAATCACCAGGTAGAGTTAAGTGTTTTAATTTTGATAATAGTGAAGATGCGCAATTGTGGCTTTAAAGTCTACTTCTGTATATGTAAGTTAGTATATTTAAAAGTTTTGAAATACTAAGCTACAATTTACATGGAGGAAATAAATTCTGTTACTGGTTTGGGTTTGTTGATAATGCTTGTGGCATAGTAGAAGATAGTCTGCGTGTTTGCGAAAAGGCCACAGTATGCATAGACAAAAGGACATGCTTGACAGTTTAAAAGGTAGTTGAGGAAGAACATCACAACAAACTTAGCAGTGTTGAAGTATTTAATTTGTTTTGTTTTTGTTACAGATTCTTACTCTGTATGATAGTGTTAATGTTATTGATGTAAATAAAGTTGTGGAATACGTTCAGAGTCTACAGAAAGAGGATGGTTCGTTTGCTGGAGATATTTGGGGTAATGTCAGTCTAATCCATGCTATCCAAAATACCAATATTAAAAACTCTGTTTTGGTGTTTATTGTAGTGATAAGGTTTGTTGAAAGTTTTTAAATACAATGAATTGGAGGCTTTGTTAATAAAGGAGATTTTTAAGGTTTTGATCTTTTCAGGTCCCACGAAGCAGCTGGTCTTACTGAAGTTAAATGGTCTGCTGGAAGTTCCAGCATGCACTGTGCTAGTTAAATCAGCAGACAGGAGAACTGGAACAGAGGGGGCCAGTCTAAAATTTGAGGTAGGTGAAATTTTTTCCCCCAATATTTGGTGGCTTTGTAAAGTTTTTTTTTTTTTTTTTATATGAACTACTTGAGAGGGAGAAATATTCAAAAAACTTTACAAACTTACTGGATATTTGAGTGGAGGGAGGGAATAGTACTATACTTGATAAATGTAGATAATCTCTGCTTTAGGGCTGAATACAGTGCAGGCCGGAGAGACCAGCTGCCTCATGGGATGTGAAAATCTACTTTTATATAGTAGGGTAAGTTTATTGTCATTATTAGAAATTGAATAGTCATTTTGGTTCTGTGTTACCTTTCGGGGTGCTCTAAGCAACTTAAGATAATTTGCTGTATCAAAACTTTCTAGTTCTTGGATTCCTTAGAAGTGATTTTACCTCACATTCAGCTTTCCTCCTCGTGATTTAAAAGTAAATGTTAAGCTTGAACTCATGGAAATTTAAACATGGCAGTTGTACAGTTTGCCTTTATTTAACTGGTATTATATATTAGGATCAGATGCCTCGGGTAACACTTAGTTTTGATTTGATTTCCTTTTTCTTTTAGGAGAAATTGATACAAGATTCTCTTTTTGTGCGGTGGCAACCTTGGCCCTGTTGGTAAGTTTTGAATATTGTATTGGAATAATTAAGTGCCCGTGATTATTCTGGAATTCAATAGGCTTATTTTTTTCTGTTTGTAGGGGAAGCTAGATGCTATTAATGTGGAAAAGGCAATTGAATTTGTTTTATCGTGTATGAACTTTGATGGTGGATTTGGTTGCAGGCCAGGTTCTGAATCCCATGCTGGGCAGGTAATTTATTAATGCAGATTAAAATATGTCAGTTTTGAAGGGATAAGTGATAAACTGGGAAAATAGAGTAATTGCAGTTTCAGTGTCTGTTATGTATGACTGAAGTTAATTTAAATGTAATGTGGGATATTACATAGGAATTGCTTAAATACAGATAAAGAAAGGCATTTTTACAGTAGTTTTATATACATTCCCTGTTGGTGGAACCCCCTGGCCTGGGCAAACATAAGTAGGTTCGTTATCATGAAAGATACATTTTTATTTTCCCTTATTCCTATCCTGAACACCTATTTCCTTGTGCCAGAGAGGCAAATTGTATTTTTAAATAGTATTTAGTATTTACATTGTATCTGTCAATAGTTGTCCAATAAAATTTGCTTTTAGAGCCACCTGGCTGGCTCTGTTGGTAGAGCATAAGATTCTTGATCTTGGGGGAGCCTGGGTGGCTCAGTGGTTAAGCGTCTGCCTTTGGCTCAGGTCATGATCCCAGGGTCCTGGGATTGAGTTCTACATCGGGCTCCCTGCTTGGCAGCAGGCCTGCTTCTCCCTCTCCCACTCCCCCTGCTTGTGTTCCTGCTCTCGCTATCTCTCTCTGTCCAATAAATAAAATCTTTAAAAAAGAAAAAAAGATTCTTGATCTTGGGGTTGTAAGTTTGAACCCCATGTTGGGTATTCTAAAAATAAAATCTTTTAAAAAAAATTTTTGCTTTTAGCCATGAGGAAATGTTGACAGTATTTCATTGCAGAATTGTATCCTAGAATTAGTATGTTTGGATTTGTTCAGATAGCTATGTGATACTTATGTGTTTGCAATTCTGACTTGTCAATAGAAAATTGGTTTTTAGACATAAAATGGCATTTTGAGTAGTTTTTATCACTACATTACTGTTGAAAAATTATTATACACATGTACTTTATGTCTGTAATTTTAGATCTATTGTTGCACAGGATTTCTGGCTATTACTAGCCAGTTGCATCAAGTAAATTCTGATTTACTCGGTTGGTGGCTTTGTGAACGACAGTTACCATCAGGTGGACTCAATGGAAGGCCAGAGAAGGTATTGTTTCATAAGATATACTGTGTTCTAATAGCTTTATAGCCACTATAGCTTCTTGTAAATTGATAATGTGCTTTTACCCCTCCCCGCATTGCAATTTTTCAGTTGTACTTCCTAAAAAAATGCTCTTGGCAAAAGTAAAACAACTGGAGTGGAGCTACTTATTAATTATGGTATCCATTTAAAAGACTCTTGAGGAAAAGATGTGTATGCTACCTTCTGATGATCTTTTTATGACAAAGCTGTCTTCTGGTTTTCCCTATCCTGAAGTGGATTCTGGAGTTATCTGAAGGAAAACAAAAAAATGTCAAATTGCTTTGAAATATATTTGTATTCAGGGCGCCTGAGTGGCTCAGTTGGTTAAGCGACTGCCTTCGGCTCAGGTCATGATCCT